ACTTGACTTCCCGTTAATCGTTGATTTGCTCGAGGGGGCGCCAGTAACGTCTCCATTTATCCCTGTCGCATGCTAGTGTAGCCCAATGGCATCTGTTCATTCTAGGAATATAAAGAGCCTCAAACCGAATGTTCATGATCTGGATGAAGAAGTCTGACCATCTGGTAGGTGGGCGGCCACTCGGTCTTTTGACATCCCATGGAATCCAGTCAGTAACGGCTCTAGTCCAGCTGTCATCTCTAAATCTCATTACGTGACCAGCCCATCTGATTTTTGACACCTTGGCAAACAAGACAGCGTCCCTGATTCATGATCGATGACTGATGTCGGAACTCCGGATTCTTTCACTCATTTGAGTGAAACATGATATTCCAAGCATAGCTCTTTCAATTCCTCTTTGGGAGACCCGAACAGCATTCTCATCCTGTTTACGTAGGGCCCAGGTCTCTGAGGCATATGTTAATGCAGGAAGAACAGTGGAATCAAAGAGATGTGCCCGGAGCCAGAGGTTCTTCGTCCTCTTAGCTATTTCTTCGACGTTCTTGAAGGCGTTCCAAGCCGCTCTCTTCCTCGGTGACCTGGCAGCTCGGGTGCCAGGTCATTTGTCATGTTGACTTCTCGACCTAGGTACACATAGCTGTTGCATTCGGAGATGGTCATTCCGTTGAGAGCAAATGGGGCATCAGGAACGAGGCTGTTTCTCATAAACATTGTCTCTGTAAGATTCAGCTATAGTCCTACATTTCCACACTCACGGTCAAAGTCGGCCAGCATTTGTGCCGCTTGTCTGATGTTTGGTGTTATTAAAACAAGGTCATCAGCAAAGCAGAGGTGGTGTAGTTGCCGACCATCTATCTTCACTCCCATTCCTTCCCATTCCAGTCGTCGCATGATGACTGCTTTGTAGAATGGTCCGCTTCTGTCTCAACAGAATCAAAGGCCTTCTTTAAATCAATGAATGTTAGACAGAGCAGCATCTTGAACTCCCGACAAACCTTGATGAGCTTGGTTATCGTGTGGATATGGTCAATAGTGCTGAATCCTTTGCGGAACCCAGCTTGCTCGCATGGTTGTCCTTCATCTAGTGTTCTGCCAATCCTATTCAGGATGACTTGAGTGATCAACTTGTAGATGACAGACAGTAAGCAGATTGGGCGATAGTTGCCAATGTCATGGATGTCTCCCTTCTTGTATAGTAGTACAGTCCTGCTGGTTTTCCATTGGGACGGAACCTTGCATTCAGACAGGTAGCGTGTGAAGAGCCGAGTCAGCGTATTGAGGAGTACTGACGGCAGGTTCTTTGGGTGTTCAGGTCTGACCTTGTCTGGGCCGGGTGCTGTTCGTTTCTTTACTGACGAAAAAGTGTCGGATTTCGGAAGGGAGAACATTGGGAAAGACATATACATCCTGTGGAATTTGGTATGTCGGCAGGTGGTCATGGCTATCGAAGAGATTTGAGTAGAAGTCATGGATAATCTTCTCCATTGCACTTCTGGAAGATGTGATAGATCCATCAGGACGTCAGTGGGCAGTCATCTTGGTCTTGTAGTTGGCGAAGGAGAGGCCGGCGTTACGAATACTTTTCCTGGCTTTCGCCGCATCTACCAGCACTTCTGCTCTTCTCTCTTTGAGGTCTTCCTTGATCGCATCTCTGTACTGCTTTGCGAGCTCGGACATTCCCTTGCGGTTGCCTGAGACATGCACCAAACCACATTGGCAAATAAGCTCAAGAATTTTTGAAGACAGGCTTTGTTTGTGGCTATCTTTCTCAGCGTTTCTCGCACAATCATGGAGGTGCTGAACCAGTTGATCGTATTCCTCGTCAATATTGTCAACAATAGTATCTTCCCACGTTGCCGCAGTAGTCCCAAAGAGCTCCCAGTTGGTGGTCGTTCTGGGAGTTCTCTTCTTAAACTTTGCAGCCCTTTCTCCCCACTCTGTGAAGTAGAATTTTGCATGCAGGAGATGGCGGTCCAATTCCATTTGGAATTTTGGGACAACAGCGACATTGGTCAGGCAAAACCATCGATTGAATATGATGTGGTCTATTTCGTTGCGGAATACTCTCCGAAGCTTGCCAGGCTCTCCAAGAGGGATAGAGGCTTGTGGGGCGGCCTCTAATCGGCCTTGTAGGTGTTACCATATTTGAACCCTATCAAATATGGTACGGCAATTCTGGAAGATGGGTATTTAGTGTCTTATAAAGTGTTGCACGGCTGCTTTGCGGCCACGTGGTCCGGAAAGCATACTGGAGCGTGGTGGCGGCTGGATAGTGGAGGTAGTGGAGGTAGTGGAGGTCTGCTGGTGAGGTATGTATCTGATACTGGTAGGGGTAGGGTGGGTCTTCTGTGCACAATCCAATCCCTGGGTCTCTGGCGGTTGGTGGATGCAGACTGGGCAGGGTAAGGTGGGTGGGGATCCTGATTTTAATCCGTTCATCACCTGTGGTTGGTGGGAGCAAGCAGAGAATCTCTGTCCCCGGGTCCATTGAGCCTGGAGTCCAAGGTCTCAGAGTTCTGCTTATCTTGTTCTGTGGGGCTTCAGTCATGCTTGAGTCTCAGCCGGGGCATCTGGAAAGCATCCTGGAGCGTGGTGGCGGCTGGGTAGTGGAGGTAGTGGTACATGTTGTATGGCTCTTAATATACCTAAAAATACCTTTTACTTACTGTCCCTGGTTTGACTGGGCCACATCGTAGAATACCATTCATTTTTGTTTCCAAATTGTCGCCCCTAGAGAGAGTACAGGGATTAACATGCATAACCTTGGCTGCACATGATCACCCAACCATCACCCAGTCCACTCTTGGATTCCAAATCCCTGGGTACCAATAGGATAGGTTATGTTATCTGCACCATCATAGGGCGAGATTATCGAACTGCCAAACTGCTTGTCTGAGAATCACCAAGGGGGACTGCAGGCCTCCTCTGCACTATTTCGAAGGCCAAAGAAAATAACTTAAAAAATCATAGCAGTATTAATTAGAATAAATGAAGGTTGATTGTTATCAAACTTTGAGTGGAAAAGATCTTCCTTTCTTCTTCCTTCTCTTTTCTTTCTCTCCTTGAGCTCCTTTCTTTCCTCCCACTCCTCCTCTCCTCCTTCCTCCTCCTCTGCTGCCTCCTCCTGATCCTCCTCCTCCTCCTCCTCCTCCTCCTCCTCCTCTTCTTCTTCTTCTTCTTCTTCTTCTTCTTCTTCTTCTTCTTCTTCTTCTTCTTCTTCTTCTTCTTCTTTCTTCCTCTTTTTCCTCTTCCTCTTCTTCTTCTCCTTCCTTCCTTCCTTCCTCTTTCTTTCTTTCTTTCTTTCTTTCTTTCTTTCTTTCTTTCTTTCTTTCTTTCTTTCTTTCTTCACCTGTTATGAACAGACAATGAACTTTTAAATATGCCAGTTAATCATCTGTTTGTCCTCATATGTCCTCGTTGATTATCTCCATTTTTGATGGAATGGTTTTATTTGTTGTTGAGTTTTATGAAAGCATTGCTATATGATGTGTGAATAGTTCCTTGTATTCAGTAGAATGTTTTAGTGATATTTAAAATTATATTTAGGGCTATACTATTTTACTTGGGCTGGAGCAATAGCACAATGGGTAGGGTGTTTGCCTTTCATGCAGCTGACCTGGCTGACCCGGGTTCGATTCCTCCATCCCTCTCAGAGAGCCTGGCAAGCTACCAAGAGTATCTCACCTACACAGCAAAGCCTGGCAAGCTACCCGTGACGTATTTATATGCCAAACACAGTAACAAGAAGTCTCACAATGGAGACGTTACTGGGCCCGCTTGAGCAAATCAATTAACAATGGGAGGACAGTGACAGTGACAGTGATAGTGACTATGTTACTTATTTGTGTTTATTTTTTTTCTTTTTGTATTCCATATGTATAGAAAATCCTTGTTGCTAAGGACATTTATTATTACTTTTTCTCCAGCCTCTATGTGTGTATATACATACATACATAGTTGAAAGAAGGAATGACAGCCATAGGAAACTGTTTTGTTTGAACTTTCAGCCATATCACTTTTCTTTGGCATAAACACAAATTCAGGGAAAAAAGTAGGAAACAGAGAGTGAGACAAAGAAATAGAGGGGAGAGAGATGATGAATAGGTGATGGAAGAGAGAGTATACCTACTTAAGAAAAGTTTGCCTTCTATACTGTACCTTCCTGCCTGTTTTCTGCCTCTATAGATAACCATTTTATAAAGCTATGCTTTCCCTTTGAAGTTTAATAAAATGTATATAGACAGGTATTTCGATATATAGAATTAATATGACACATAAAATCATGATACTGCTCTATTTTTATCATAAATTGTAGCATGTGGTATACATTTTTATCTCCACATTGTTTTTCACACTTAGCAGTAACTATGTCCTACAATTCTCTAGAATTTACTAGCTTACCCAGAGCTCACTTTGAGTAGTATATAATGATATTTATTTTCAAAAATTTCAGTGTACCTGGTATTATATTTAGGAGAAGTTACCTTACTTTCACCTTTTTGAGGAACCTGAGCGTTTTAAATCCTATTATTCTATGCTTAGTTTATTTAGACAAAAATAGTTAAATATTAGTGTCATCATACTATCTCTCTAATATGGTTATTTATATCTGCTGAAGTTTTCCTAAATGTGTTAATGTTATATTTAATCATTTGAAAATTACAATTTTTTTCCTTCGTATCTCTTTCCTTTTATTTTAGAATGGGTCCTGGAGGAATTGTCAGATAATTGATTGTTTGACCTACATGTGCCATTAAGGGAGTTTTATGGATTCTTTTCTGCTTACCATGAGTAAAGTCTCCTGAGATTCAGAACCTTAGACATATGCAGTCTTTTAATTTATCTTGCAGTTTTAAGTGTCACATAAAGTTCAAAAAACAGATTATTGAGTCATTAAACTGAGGTCTAAGATGTTTTATCTTCCTAATGGGATAACACAGAGAATCTGGTTTGGAGTTTGATCTATAACCTTGTATAACATGCTTTAAATTTTTGTTTAGGCAGTTTGGAAGGGATTTCTTTTACGAAAGAAACTGGCTACAGCTCTAGAAGCTATTAAGAATGAAGAATCTGAAGAAGAATATGAAGAGATAGATTTAGAGGATTTTACATTTGATGAAGTAAGTATTAATTACAACGTATAAATATTGCTCTTGGAATATTTTTAGTATACTGATTTGGAGTTAAACCCATTTCTAAATGTGTTTATCCTATTGATGCTATTTTACAGTTTTTTTCAAATAACACTTGTGAAAACATGCTTTTAATTTCTTAATGTCATCACTTGCTCTGTAAGTGTTTACAGTGTGTAAAAGTGGTCTTGGGATCTTTACAAGAGTTCCCATGTACCTTTCAAAAATTATTTATAAAATGCTTTATTATTAATTACTCAGCATTGAACAATAACTCTCATCATACTCATTATCTAGACATTTTTTTCTTGTTAGCTAGGAAATTGATAACAATGCTTTTGGATTATATCTGAGTATTCCACCAAAAGGTAACAAACTACATATTGACCTTTTACATTTCCATTGTTATCAACCAAAATGAGAATCCTTTTACTGTACAGAGCACTTCTACATTCTTCATTTTCCTTATTCCCTTCCCTCTTATCTAAGCAGTAACATAAATTCCATTCAGATTGAGATGTGGCACCATCCCCCAATACATTCCATAGTATTCAGAGCTCTATATTTTCTCCCTATCTTGAAAAATAGAATCATAAAGAATGTACTCCTGAATTTTTCTACATAAATATTAAACAAGGTTTTGAATAGTCAATTAACTGTAATTTGAAAATACATATCTTGTAGCCTATTCTAATGCTATTGAATGACTTCGATTATTGTAATGCTGCCAATTATGACTGAAAGTGCGATGAAAATTCTTATGCACATTTTTTGTATATAATTTTTTCTTAAGATAGATCAGAATATAAACTGCGTTTCATAGAGAGTGTTACTAGCAGTATTTCAAAGTGCTTTTTATCAATTTTACAGTCCTACCAGCAGAATGTTTATGGTTCAGGGTAATTCCATCTTCAGCAAAACTTAGTTGTTTTGATGTTTTATTTTACCCCATTTGATATCATCTTACTATTCTGCTAATTTGCATTTCACTGAAAAATATTATTGATTAATATTTTATGCTAACTGAACATTTAGTTATCAATTTGGTTTTATAGCTCAGGATTTTTAGTTGGGTGGTGTATTATTAATATTTGAAGGTTATTTTTATATTCTGAATATTTTCTATATATTCGTATAAGATACTATATCTGAATATTTTCAGAATATGCATATACATAAATATATTCTGAATATTTATATATTCTTAATTCCCATGCAAATACTTTCTTTAAGTTCTGATGATTACTTGCTTACTTAATTTTTTTTTTATTAGTGAAACACCATGAGGTACAGTTATAGACTTACAAACTTTTGTGCTTGGTTTCAGTTATACAATGATCAAGTACCCATCCCTCCACCAGCGCCCATCCTCCACCACCACGGGCCCCAGCATCCCTCCCACCCCCCATCCCCCCCATCCCACCCTGCCTCTGTGGCAGGGCATTCCCCCTTGTTCTCTCTCTCTTCTTTTGGTTCCTGTGTTTTGCAAAAGAGGCATTGCGTGGCAATCATGTTTGGTCTATAGTCTACTTTCAGCATGCTTCTCCCACCCTGGGAGGTTCCTCACAACACCCTTTATTTGGTGCTCTCTTCTCTATCTGAGCTTCTTTTTCCCGTAGCACTTGTGGCTGGCCTCCAAGTCATGGAGCGAAATTCCTGGTACTAATCTCAGCCACTCGTGGGTGTTAGTCTCCCATTTTGTTGCTTTATGTTCCCCAGATGAATGCAATCTTTCTGTGTCTATACCTCTCTTTCTGACTCATTTCACTTAACATGATACTTTCCATGTAGTACCACTTGTGTGTAAATTTCTTTAAGTACTTTCTTTAAGTTCTGTTGATTACTTGCTTACTTAATGTTTTTTTTTAACAAAATTCTTTAACTTAGAAAAATGTAATCTGTACTTACTCTTAGGTCATTAAGATTTCTAGAAACTTTATGAGCTTAGCTTTCAACAATTAAATGTGATACACCTGTAAATAATTTTTAGGTATAGCGTGAGAAAATGAATCAAGTTTCCCTCTCCCCGCCCAAACCCATGTTTGACTGCTTCCTTGACTTAGTCTATTTATGCACAAGCAATAGAGAGTAGTGAAAGCTTAATTCATTCTGGAGTCTGTATATGTGGTTTCTCTAAGTTTTTTCATTATTCTTTCCTTCATTAGTAAACAACTTTTATATTGGAGTAGTTTTATTATAAATTTGATATTGAGGCCCAACTTTGGTCATCGTCAAGAAGAATTATTAGTGTAACTTTTAATATTATTAATATTATACATTTATTTTTATTACTACTTTTACTTTTATTATTATTTTACTTTCTGTATTAATACTAAAATAATCCCATAATTTACATAATAAGTGTTACAATTTGTTTGCAATTGGTACGACATTATAAGTGAATTTAGGAGAACAGCTATCTCTAGAATATTATTATGATTTTATATATTTACTTCTTATTTATTTGGCTTTTGTACCACACCTGGTGATGTTAATGTCTTACTCTGGCTCTTTCAACCCCCTCTTTTTAGTCAGTCATGGCAGTATTCCAAAGTTACCCATAATTGGGTTTCAACACCAATTCCTTCACCAGTGTCCACTGTCCTCCACCATTTTCCCCTGACAAACAGTCTGCCTCTAAAAAGGACACTACATGGAAAGTATCATGTTAAGCGAAATGACTCAGAAAGAAAGTGATAGACATCGAAAGATTGCATTCATCTGGGGAACATAAAGTAACAAAATAGACTAACACCCAAGAATGGCCGAGATTAGTACCAGGAATTTTACTCCATGGCTTGGAGGCCAACCACACGTACTAGGGGAAAAGGGAGCTCAGATAAAGAATGGAACACCAAATATAGGTGTTGGGAGAATCCTCCCAGGATGGGAGAAGCATGCGGAAAGTAGACTATAGACTAAACATGATTCTCACCCATTGCCTCTTTTGCAAACCACAACACCCAAAAGGAGAAAGAGAACAAAAGGGAATGCCTTGCCACAGAGGCAGGGTGGGATAGGGAGGATGGGGGGTGGGAGGGATACTGGGATCCGTGGTGGTGGGAAATGGGCCCCGGTGGAGGGATGGGTACTTGATCATTGTGTAATTGAAACCCAAGCACAAAAATGTGTAAGTCTGCAACTGTACCTCATGATGTCTCACTATTAAAAAAATTTTTAATAAAAAAATAAAAATAAAAATATATAACTTTTTGCATGCAGTTTATTGTTCTGTTGTCTATACGGTTCCACACAAAACTCTTTACAACCTTCCAGAACTATCTCCCCCTTTCTTTTGCTCTTTCCTCTACCAGAGTCATTGACCACTCCTTGTTCTATCTCCCAGCCCCCTTAGGTGGTATGTTTGCTACTGACAACCAGTTTTTATGTTCATTGTTCTTTTTTTGGCTCTGTGCTCAGGGATCACTTCTGGCAGTGCTTGGGAGACTATATATAGTGGAGATATTGAATCTAGTTCAGCCAATTGCAAGCAAGCACCTTACCCACTCTACTATGTCTCTGGACCCTGTAATATTTTTAATTCATGGATATGAAATAATCTTCCATTATATTTTAGCCACTTAAAATTTTTGTATTGAAAGAAAAATAATTTTATTAACAATACTATGTTTTGTTTATTTTTGTATATTGAATTTATATTCAATATTTTGCTGAAATGCTTTAAATCTTTTTAGAATTTTTAAAATTCTTTTGAATATTATATATACAAAATCACATCCTAAATATGAAAATTTATCTTTTTCCATTCTGGAGAAACCCATGTTCTCTCTAAACATGTATTACTCTATTTGCTTTTCTGCTTTTCCACTCTGGAGAAGCCCATGTTCTCACTTGAACATGTTTTCCTCTCTTTCTCTTCCATCACATCTTTCTAAGTAAATTTCTTCAATAATAAAACTCTCTTCACTAAAAAAAATGAAAATATTTTTAATTCATATGCCTGTTATTTATATTTTTTGTCTTATTTTCCTGTTACTTTCAGTAAGATGTTGAATAGTGATGCTGTTAGCAATAATCTTTGTCTAGTTTTGAGTTTCAAAGGAAAAGTTTTAAGTATTCCACCACAGAATAAGATGTTCGATAAAGATTTTTTAAAAAAAACTTTTTAATACATTAAGGAAGTTACCTTTATAAGAATTTTCTTATCTTTCAAAGATATTGACATGATGATGACGGTTCTGTATGATTTGTATTTTATTCAAAATTTCTGTACAAATTACATTGATACTTTTTCAAACAATCATATGTCTAGAATAAATCAACCTAAAATATATATACACATACATAGAGTTACTAACATTTTAGTTACCTTATTATTTGTGTGCTGGGCATAGAACTCTGTTGGTGATGAGATTAGGCAACTGCGCATACCAACACTGTAAATGTCAATTTGTGACCTAAAGGTGAATAAATTTTAGAAATATTCTTATTTTGACGACGTGGGGTTTGACAGAGCTATGCTAAAAAAAGTCTATTATAATTGTAGGTTTCTCTAAATCAGCTTTTAGTTTTATTATAATTTTATTCATATTTTGAGGATCTGTTTTTATTTTATTTTATTTTATTGGCTTTTTGGTTCACACCCAGTGATGGTCAGGGATTACTCCTGTCTCTGTACTCAAGAATCACTACTGGTGGTGCTCAGGGACCATATGGGAAGCCAGGGAATAAACCCAGGTCAGCTGTGTGCAAAGCAAATGCACACTCCGCTGTACTGTCACCCCTAGCCCTGAGGGTTTGATTTTAACATTTCGAAGTCCCACTTACTGAGTTTTTAGTAAACACAAGATTTTTTGGTCTTCAACTCTGGTTGCCACTTTAATTTCCTTAGCAGCCATTTCCTGTTGTATTCATACCTGCAACCTTTTTGGCTATTACATTTTTAATAATATTTTTATAATTTTTTCCATTCAACATGGCTGTTTTTATATTTACAGATTGATTCCAAAAGTATATAGATAGTTGTG